TTTTTTTTTTCTTTTTAAAGTTAGGAGTACCTTTCTTTTTTCTCTTACTTTATGCATTACACTTTTTCCTTGTACTTCGGGTTCGATAAAACATCGATTAACGACACTTTTTGGTCGATCCAGAAAACCGGGAAATTCAGATATCCGGGATAGCGATGGTCCCGAGCATCCCGGATAATTGGTTCTCAACTGTATATATATATATATATACTTGTTAAAAGAATTATGACATTTGCAATTTTATGTGCATATTTTTTGATACATTTAAGTAAGTGTTAAATATAGTTCTTTTGTGGAAATATTATAATAATTTTAAAATTCATAATTGACTCCATCAACATTCATCTTTTATTTAAATACAGCAAAATTAAAAACAAGTTCAAAAAGATCATTAAGCATTTATAAAATTTTAAAAAAAACTTTTTTTTTTCGTTTGTAATATTTTATAAACAAGTTTAGTGTATGTGTGTTTTAATTTTCCCGCAACCCTCTTGCAAAATAATTGGTTGTTTTTTATGCCTTTTAAAAGAACAGATTATAATTTTATTCCTACACAATTAGAATATAATTATTAAACACTGCTATGCAAGAATTAATTTTTTTTTCTGAATGATTTTTTTTCTTCCTCCTATTCTATTGTTCTAAATTCTATTCTAAAATCTGTTCTCACTTCTGCATGTTGTTTTTTTATTTCTTTGTAATCAAAAATTATTTTTTCTTAACCTAAATTAATTTTTTCTAAAAATATTGTTAAGATTTTATATTTTATTTGTAATAAAGTTATTATAATATATATTTCATTTAGCTGCCGTAGCTGTGTTTAACTACTATTTGAAGAATTGTATATGATGATATTTATTGAATGTCTTGTAAAAGTATTTAATATTTTTCCAGAGGTTGAAGATGACACAAGCAATCCTGAAAGTAAGTTTAGGTTTTCTCTGTTTGTATAAAAATTTCTAATATTTCAAAAAAAAAAAAAACAACTTTTTAAACTTTTAATTTCAAAGAATAATGGTTGTGAAATAAAAATATTTTTTTCATAATTAAACCCATTGTTCTAGTGTTTGTCCCCATAGTCCTAGTGTTCTTTAGAATTTAGGTCATATAGATTTGTATTCATAATAAATTTTGATAAATTTTTCTCTCTTCTTTTAATAATTTGAAGGCTTTTCATGCCTAGAACAAAAAATTTCATATAATTCATTAAGTAAGATTTTATATGTTATTTGTAATAAAGCTGTTATAATAAATATTTCACTTAGATGCTATAGTATGCGTATATCTACTATTTAAAGAGCTGTACATGAACTATGGTACTATTAGTTAAATGTCTTGTAAAAGTATTTAAATTTTTTCCAGAGGCTGAAGATGATATAAGCAATCCTGAAAGTAAGTTTAAGTTTTGTGTTATCTCTGTTTGTATAAAAATTCCCAAAATACTGAAAAAAACTTTTTTAAACTTTAGATTCTCAAGAATGATAATTACAAAAGAAAATATTTTTTCATAATTAAACCCTTAGTCCTAGTATTTATTTTCTTTGTATTTGTATACATACTAAAGTTTCATAAATCCCTCTTTGCTGATAATTGGAACACTTTTTCCATGCTTTTACTTTTTCTTACACAATCTCCGTATAATAATTAAAATGTTTTGAGATTAATGAGCAAATCCATTAATCACCTGAAAGCACAAGTTCATTTGTTCACAGTATGCCCTGTGTCGCATGCTCTGTTTGATTTATTATGCTGTAGCTTATACATTTTTACGAAAATCTATATTAGGGATTGGAGATCAAAGATAAATTGGAAGTCGACATGGAGAAATCTTCAAAGGAAGGCATTGGCCCACATTGCTGTCTGGCCAACTATGATGATGATATTTTAGTTTAATAATCTTCAAAGAATAAATTATCAAAAAATAAATTTTTTCTAAAAGTTTTGCTATGTTGTTCTCCCTTAATATCTTAAATAGGATGTTAATCCAATTGTTTAGTTTCAATCTTAATAATTAATTATTCTTATGTGACATTATTATGTTAACCATTTAATATTTTGGTTAGTGTTTATGTTATGTCAAGAATTTGAAAGCCTTTTCAACATTATAATGATAAGTTCAAATTATATGACTGTAATCTTCATAAATTAGCGTTGATATAAGCGCGCTAAAAAATATCTGTAGAGAAATTAATTGCAAAACATTTATTTTTAAATTGAAGCCTGAAATTAATATTATTTATTTCAGGTGACAAAAATAAAAAAAGAACTAAAAGATGTGTTACAAAGATTGATAGAAAAGAAATGAATAAATGCTATCCAGGCTTCCATAAGGCATTATTGGATATTATAGTAAACGAAAAAACTGAGAGTCAACTGGAAATGTAAGCCTTTTTAAATGCAAATTTTTGCTTAATGCTTTTCATTTATTCTTATATTAACCGTGGTTCATGTTAAGAATAATAAGGATGATATACTAAAATTTGAATGCTCTACAATTTGATCTACCTATTCCTGTATCTCAAGACACTTATACAGTACAGAACCCGTTATCCGGAAATCAGAAAACCAAAAAACCGGAACGAAATTCAATAAATTTTCCCGCAATTTAAAAAAAAAAAAATTTTTTTTCCTCATAAGATTTTAGGATTTTTCTTTCTTTTTTGAAAGATGTTCACCTTACCATAATTTTGGAAATAATCATTAGTGTATAACTTCATCGTTTTTTCTTCTTTTTAAGATTATTTCCCCANTCCAGGGTTTAACACTAAAAAAACGGCTTTTTGTAGCGATTCAGAAAACCGGAAAAATCAGTTATCCGGAATAGCGATAGTCCCGATCGTTCCAGATAATCGGTTCTCTACTGTAACATATTCTTTGAGCAAAATTAAAAAAAAATTTTTACTGTTTTATAATCCATTTATGTTTTTAGTATTCATACACTTATTTCCTTTAGGCCAAGTTCAGGCCAAATGCAATGTTTAGAACATTTGTTTGACCACTGCACTGGAAACAGTATAGTTGTTATTCAATCAATTCTCCATGACATTTTTGATGTCTGTTTTGACCTTCCCATTCCTGATAGTTATGCACCTGCTTGTGAAGTTCCTCAAAGTTCTGGTAACTACATTTATTTCCCTAAATGTTCTTTTTTCTGAAACAAATTTACATTCAAAATGTGTGTTTCTTGTTAAGTTTTAGAAAACTACATACACATGACATACAAACATGCATATTTTGTAATTAAGATTTACAAATATTTAAAATCATAAGAGCAACTGTTTAAAATAGCTCATTAATTGATTATTCATATAAAAACAAAATTCTGGAATTAAATTTTCTGCATCATTGCAGAATATTTTAAATGGCTCGAAGTCGTATTATATGTATGTTGTGGATTTACCATATTTATGGTTTTTAATATTATGAAACTTATCTGTTTCCCATGCAACTAATGGACCAAAACATCATATTTACTTCGATAATTAAATTAACATTATTATTTTCTTTGTTAAATTGCGTTAATTAGATTTAAGCTCTATTTATGCATTAGATTTAATATGAAATTCTTTTAACAATATAGAAAGCTAGCAGTGACATTTGCAATTTATATATATGTATACATATATATATTTATGGTTAAACAAGTGTAAAATATCAGTTCTTGTGTGGAAAGATAGTAATTATTTCAAAATTCATGTATGACTACATTCATCTTCAATTTAAATACAGCAAAAGAAAAGTAATAATTAAGCATGTATAGAATTTTTTTTAAGAAAAATTTATTTTTGAAATATGGTGAACTAGTTCAGGAGTATTTTAATTTTCTTGCAACTTTTCTCCATAAAAAAATTTTTGTCTGTGATAAACCTGAAAAGCACATATCTCTCTTCTTCTAAAAAGAATGATAATTTTAGCATTACACAGTAAGAATTTAAATTGCTTTGATACTAGTATGCAAGAGTTAATTTTATATGTTGCTGGGTGGACTTTTCTTTTGTTCTAAAATCTGTTCTCTCTTCTGCATGTTGTTTTTTTATTTATTTTTTATCTGTAATTGTTTTTATTTTTCCTAAATTCATTTTTTTCAAAAAATATTTTAGGATTTTATATTTTATTTGCAGTAAAGTTATTACAATGTATATTTCATGTAACTGACTTACCTGCGTTTTACTACTATTTAGTTGTGTATAGCTATTATTTATAAAGCTGTATGCAAACTATGGTATTTTTTTTAATAATTTATAAAAGGTTTTGTTTTTTTTTAGAGATTGACGATGACACAAGCGATCCTGAAAGTAAGTTTATGGTTTGTGTGAGATGTTTATAAAAATTCCCAAAATACTAAAAACACTTTTGGAACTTTCAATTTGTTATTAGTTGTGTGCAGCTATTATTTAAAGGGTTGTGCGCAAACTACGGTATTTTTTTAATGATTTGTAAAATTATTAAATTTTTTTCTAGAGGTTGACGATGATGCAAGTGAACCTGGAAGTAAGTTTATGTTTTGTGTGAGATATTTATAGAAATTTCCAAAATACTAAAAAAACTTGTGGAACTTTTAACTTATGATGAACGCCAACTTATGATGAATGCCAAAAAGAATACATATTTTTTTTATTATGTAACCCATAGTCCTAATACTATTTGTTAATTTTACAGTTTTGTTTATTTTACAGTTACATAAATAATAAGGTCTAAAAAAGCCTTTTCTTTTTTTCCGGATAATTTGAAAACGTGTTCCATGCCTTAAAGAAAAAATTTCCTCAAATACATTTAAAAAATTTGCAACTGGCATTTGTAAAAATTAATGCTTAAACAATTTTCTTTTTTGCTTACTTCTTTGCTTGCTTAAAAATTATCTTAATTAAAAATTTAAACCTTGCTTACCCAATTAATTAAGTTTCAATCCTAATAATTTCTTATTGTTATGTGACTTTATAGTAAACTGTTAATATTTAGGTTAGTGTTTACTTAATGTCAAGAATTTGCTTTTTTTAAGGTTCTATTCATAATAATAAAAACAAATTATATGATTTTAGTATTTGTTCATCAATTTTATATTAAATAAATTGTAAAAAAAATATTCTTTGAAAAATAATTTGCAAAAAATTTATTTTTAGATAAATGTTGAAAATTAATGTTTTTTTTTTCTTTACTTCAGGTAGCAAGATTAAAAAAAGAACTAAAAGATGTGTTAAGAGAATAAATAGTAAAAAAATGAATAAATGTTATCCCGAATTCCATGATGCTTTAATGGATATTATAATAAACGAAAAAACTGAAAGTCATCTGGAAATGTGAGTTTGTTTAAATACAAATTTTTGATTAAAGCTGATCATTATATTTCTGTATTCATTTAAAAAGTGCTTATTTTAGATTTTAAAAGTGCTTATTTTTGATTTACGTTTTTTAAAAGCTCTTAAAGGTGCTTTTTATATTCAAGGTTTATAAAAAGTGCTTAAAATGAGAATTTTCCTTTGCTGAGTCGAATGTCGTTCTAAATTACAAAAAAAATTATGTTTTTTCACAATTTTCTCTGCAATATTTATCAGAAATTAGTTTTTTTATCGGGATTATTTAAAGTTTTTTAAAATTTTTTTGATCTTATGTTTATAAATTAAGAACTTTAAACAATGGAAAAAAATAATTTTTATTACTGTTCAAATCCTAATTACCTAATTATGATTTTTTTTTTTTGAACAGTGATTAAAATTACTTTTTGAATGCTGAAAAAGTACTTAAAACAGAGATGAGATTCTTCCGCGGATTCGCGGATTTCCGCTTTNATTTTTCTCTTTTTTTTTTTTCTTTCTTTTTTTTTGTTTTTTTGATTTCCTCTTTTTTACTTTCTGACTACTCTCATCCCTGTTAAAAGGTGCTTATTTTTTGTTCTGGTTGTTAAACATTGTTAAACATTTATTAAAAAAATCTATAATTTTAAAACAAATTTTGCCAAAATGCCGTGGCGACAAAAGGATGGAAACTAGTTACACAAGTTACTCACTGCATGCAGAAAGTTTTTTTAATTGAGATTTTGTGTTCTCAGAGAGTTTTTCATTTTATCTACTTCTATCTTATGCACCTACTTATTTAATGTTCATGCATATGTTTCTTTTAGGCCAAGCTCAGGTCAAATGCAGTGTATACAGCATTTGTTTGACCATTGCACTGGAAGCAGTATTGTTAATATTCAATCTATACTCTATGTTGTTTGTGGTATCTGTTTTGACCTTCCTATTCCTGATAGTTACACACCTGCTTGTAAAGTTCCTTTAGGCTCTGGTAACTACATTCAATTTATTATGAATATTTTTTTTTTGCATTTAAAAGTTTTCCTAGATATGTTTCCTTTATTATCTTTATGTTTTGAGATGTCACTAATACTTTTTTCATTTATTTACAGTACAGAACCCGTTATCCGGAAATCAGAAAACCGGAAAACCAAAAAACCGGAACGAAATTCGATAAATTTTCCCGCAATTTTTAAAAAAAATTTTTTTTTTTCCTCATAAGATTTTAGGATTTTTCTTTCTTTTTTGAAAGATGTTTTCCTTACCATCATTTCAGAAATAATCATTAGTGTATTACTTCATCGTTTTTTCTTATTTTTAAGATTATTTCCAAATATTTTTTTTTTTAGTTGGGTTAACACTAAAAAAACGGCTTTTTGTAGCGATTCAGAAAAACGGAAAAATCAGTTATCCGGAATAGCGATAGTCCCAATCGTTCCGGATAATCGGTTCTCTACTGTATTATGTTTTACTGATGTATTTAGTTGTGATTTCATATATGATATGTTATGAGGTATTTAAAGATTTATGTATTTCTTGGTAGAAGTCAGCAAAAATTCAATCCTTTAAAGGCACATTTTATGACAAAATTACATTCAAAAATGTGTATTTTTTTAAGTTATTTTAAATTTGCATATATTTGATCATTCGTATATTTTGCATGTTGTGTAACAAAGATTTCATAAATATCAATAAAATCAGAATAGCTTGTACTTAAAAAAATTAATTTTGAAAGTAATCATATAAAAATAAAATTTTAAAATTAAATTATCTTTTTATTTTCTGCAAACTGAATTCCAATTACATCAACAGTATATTCTATTTGTTGCTGACTGGCCATGTGTGCTTTTGTTGACAATTTTGTCTTCATTTTTATAAATTGCTATTTTGTTTATTTATTAATTTACTTTTTTTACAAAAAATTTTTCCATGCCTAAATTAGTTTTTTACTCAAAGATTGGTAATATTTAATGCTGCATCTGTATAAAAATGCCCTTATATAACCCAGCATTACAATATGGTTTTGGAAAGTTAGCTTTAATTCATGTGCATAATAAAGATTTCTAATAAATATCCAAGTTTGTATATCACTTGTATGTATTATACAGCATGAAGCCCTATATTCGGACACCTGAAAAAGTTTTTTTTTTTTGTAGGCGCTTTATAGCATTTTCCTTTTTCCAAAAAAAATTTTTTTACATCCTTTTCTTGCATTTAGGATAGCAAAATATTTGTGCCGAAGTGCAGACTTAAGTAAAATGAAAAAATTTCTGTAAATACAAAATCTCAATTAGAAAAGCTTTCTAATTAATTCTTATTATAATTAATTCTTAAATATCGCTACACTTGAATTTTGTTTGAATCCCTTCGTTTGCCACCCACTTTGGCGAAATTTGTTTGAGAAGCACCCATTTTTTAAATTTTTATAAGACTCTACATTGATTATTATACATTACCAGCATGACTAAAAGTCAAACACAGTGATGTAATTGCAGAAAAAGTACGCCTGGAAAGATTCTCACATCAATCTCTGCAAGATTGACCCACGGGTTAGGATTTTATAATTTTATAACCGTTGTTGAACAGCCGACCCAAATTTGGGCTTACAACTACTAATGTTCAACTCCATAGCCTAGTAATTTTGAACCCAATACATAAGACAAGGGAACTCCTGGATCAAGTTTTATCAGAAATTTGCCTTCGTGGAGGACTTTGTGATAGAACTAACCCACATTTGCTTTACATGGAGAGGAAGGCCACGAGAACCTCCCATGGTTAGCCTTACAGCAAGGGGACTCTAACCCCTGATTAATCTACCAATGAGGATATTTCACGTCAGCACTGTGGTCAGTGCAAGCCAGATGGGGAATTCATATCGACCAGCCATCACTGGGATTCAAACCTGGTTCACCTCATTGGAAGGCGAACGCTCTATCCCCTGAGCCATTATGGCTCCGGGTTAGGATTGGGGATTTTTGATCATTTTTTATATATAATGAGTAATACTAACAAATTTTCCCCAATATTTAAAAGTATTGACAGCAGTGTAAAATAGGAGAATTTTGACCGTTCTTTGTTCATAATGAGTGATATTAAAATAATTCCACGATGGTAACAAATTTGTCTTGAACGACGTTTACGTGCTTGTGTGTGTTATTCATACCTTCCCAAGTGCAGACGGTTCCAGATATGGAACTTTCCATTGTAATGAAACATTATTTATTTATAGTAATGCCTGACTATGCTACTAATTCTCATGAATGAATTTTTTTTCTGTTTTTATATTACCCCAAATTCCCCAAAAAGTCTTTCAAACTTCAAATTTTCATCAATGTAGAGTGCAACCAACTATTTTTGTTATTATATAACCAAATATCAACTTGAAACCATGTTGCCTTGACTCACCATGTGGTGAGCTGAGTCAACAACCAGCCTCTTTTTCTATGTTTTTTTTTTTAATTGTTTTATGATGAAAGTTCATGAATGTAGAAACACTGGTAAACAAACAAAATATCCAATGTCTTCTTTCAAAATTTTAAGCCTTTAGAATAAATAAATTCGTGATGATTCATGTAAAAGTAAAGTTCTTTAACAATTCATATATTTCAAAATTGTAATAAATATATTAAATGTATTTTGCATCCCTTAATATTTTTAAATAAAGTTTATTATCAGTATGTTAAAGTATGTAATGAATATATTTAACTAAATATTGTCCCCATTTTTATTGTTGAATTAACTTTTCGTAACCTTCAGTTATTTTTAATAAGAACTTTTTTTAAAAAATATAATTTAATACGAGCAAAAAAAATACCGAAATTGGTTATTAAATAAAAAAGACCGGTTGATATTAGTCCCTGACTCATTAAGTTTGAGGAAAAAAGTGCAACTAATTATTTATTAGAGTCTACCAACTTAAGGCTACTAACTGAAAATTCAAATTTTCAGTTCTAGCTAGATAGCTCCTAGTGCTATAGATGCACTAGGTATCATATCTATACATAATAATAAACGCGGCTGTGTGTGTGTGTGTGTGTGTGTCTGTAATCACAATATATCGCCCCAGAAGCCTCGCCCGGGCACGAAACTCGGCCCCTAATTGTGTTTTGACATAATCAAGAAGTATTTTTTNAGCCCATAATAACCAATTACTGTCTGAGAAATTGATATTTAGAATTATTAATAACCTATTTTTTAATTGCATTTTTTATGCATGAATGAGCAAGTCAAAAAGTGTTATATTCTGCAAATTTAAAAAATATATACCCTAATTTATGGAAGAAACGCCGCCACGTTTACGAGTTTAAAAGTTTTTAAATTTTAAGTGCGGCGTTAATGATATTTTAAAAATACATTTTACATTTTTCAAAGAGAAAATAAAAATTTTAATAAAAATATTTGTGAATAATGGCAAAAGATGGCGCCACTATTGCTAACCCACTACCCCTTAAAGAAAGTGGGTTGATTTCGATCTAGTTCTGGTCAAATCGTGTGGTTGATAGCTCTTTCGCATTTTTTCTCACTTTGTTGCAACATACTTTTTTTTTCTTTTTTTTTTTTTTTTTTTAAATTTTTGTTGATAAGAGAAAAAAAATCTGTCATATTTTCTTTTTATTTGGAATTTTTTTTCCCTTGAAGTAAGTAATAATAAATCTGTGTCAAACAAAACATCCATTCCTAAAGTAGTTGAAATTGAAAAGTAAAAACATCTGCATTTCCAATGAACAAAATAAAGAAATACAAGTTGGGAGAAACTGATCAATCACTCTTGACAGCTGTGCAAGTGCTTTACTGGTTTGTCCCCACATTTCCCTCTCCTGTTTGACCATAAATTAGCCACACCCTTTTTACATTGAAACTTCTTTCTCACTTGGTGTACAAAATGAATTCGATCCCTTAGCTACTGCTGCTTTTTTTTTATTATTCGATTTATTTATCTTTTTATTAGTTATTAACTGTTACTTTTTTTTGTTACTTGTTAACTTCTTTTTTTCTTATCGTTATTAGTTATTTGCTTCTTTTTTGTAGTTTTTCATTGTTAGTTTCTTAGCATTAGTTGTTACTTTTTTTGTAGTTCCTTGTTAACTTTTTTTTTTTTAAGAGAGGTGAGAGTCTCTTGTTAAAACAAAATGTTATGTAAAAAAAATGAGAATGATCTCGCACTGAAGAAGAAACTATTATTTCTCCTTGATTATGTCATATAGATTATTATTTTAATTAATGAAATTTCTAAAGATGGGTCAGTTTTAAATTCACCCCATCATAATTTATAATTGAAACTTAGATAAATTTATTGGTTTTTCAGAAATTAACAGCGTAATTGAATGATTGTAATATATGGGCGCTATATTGGAATTTCCGGAAGAGATACGGAATTTCGTCGGTCTTGAAGTGCTGATTTTGGATCCTATACTGTATTTACTTTTGCCGCTAAAACATTATTATGGGTGCGACGTTTACAACATGTGCGGCGTTTACCATGATTTTTTTTCTTTTTAGTCTCATTATCGCAAGTGCGGCGTTTACAATAGGAGCGGCGTTTCTTCCATAAATTACGGTACTTTCAAAATTCCACTCTAGAAATTCCCAAAATTCAAAGCAAAAATTCTCCTACTAATAATTTTGGCTCAGAACACTAAATTTTGAACTGTGTTCAGCGTTTTAGCTATTTATTATGTTTTTTAATTAATTTTATCCTGTTTTTTTTTAATTATAATGCAATCTGAAATATTTGTGTTATTCACTCTTGCTTATGCCATTTTTTACTTTAAAAAAATATTTAACAGAAGATTAAAGTATATTTTCTAAATGTAATTCGATTTCGATTCTAATAATTTATTATCATTATGTAATATAATCATATTAAATTCATTTTTTTAAGTTTAGTGATAGGTAGCAAATATTTAAAAATCACTTTTAAATAGAAAATTTGTTCTTTGTTTTTTATTCAAAGGTTTAATTTTATTTGAATTTATTTCAGATGAGAAGGATAATAATGACCCTAAAAAATGTGTTATGGAAATAAATGGTCGAGAAATGGACAAGTGTTATCCTGGATTTCAACATGCTTTAGTTGATGTTATAGTTTCTGAAAAATTTTGGTCTGATCTAACAATGTAGGTTTTTTGTAAAATGTAAATTTTTGGAACTTGTATTCTTTATTCTTCTTTCTTTGTGGTTTATGTTTAGAGTAATAGATATCAAATTTATTTTTAAAAAAAAAATTTTAAATTACGATATATTATAAAATAATAGCTATTTAAGATTATATATATTATTATTACTTCCATAGAATAGGAGTTAACAGAGCAATCAACTTCTATAATTTTTTGGGAAAATTTCTTCTAATGGTTGGTAGCTAAGTTTATGTTTCAGTGTATTATTCTTTGTTTTGTAAATTTGATTTAACGTTATTTTACAAACACCTAGATGTAAATGATTCAAAAGTTTAGTTTAAAGACCTGAGTTAATTAGATTCATTAAGTTTTTATAATTATAATAAATAGTTTATGGTATGTAAATTTATTTAAATGAACTTTTTATCCATTTTGTTATCAAAAATGTAAGAAATAGTAGCTGTGCATTACTATTGGTATAGGGGTCTGGAGAAAATTTCCTTCCCCTTCAGATTTATGTCTAAAATATAGTGACCTCACAAATTGTGAAGGCATGTCTCAGGAATGTTTCCCAAACCGTAACCAATAGCCCATTGTGCAGCTCTAGTCTGATGTAAATAAAGTACCTACCTGTTATGAAAAGAAAAAAATTTAATTTTGCAATTTTTCAAAAGCGTTTTAATTACATAATTTCATGAAAATAATTAATAAATAATGGGTAATTAATAGGATAAAAAATTTAATTACAAGTTTCAAAAATCATAACTATTTAAATGAAATCCTAACTCTTGGAACCCTTGCGACCCTTCTACCAAACCCTAGGGCTCCGTGAGTACCATTTAGGTACCGCTGATCTAACCTAAAAATAATCTTGTCAATTGTTCCATAATGAAAAATATCTTATACTAATTGAGACCACCTGTTGTGGCATATCTGACTCTTAAAATGCTGACCTAGGATGAGTAAAGTCTGTTCTTGACCTTGATAACTGCCTGCGGTTCACTCAGCCATTCATCTCATTGAGATTAATAAAAATAAGTACTCATCAGTGATTCGGCTAGAATTCATAACTCATCGAAAATCAGAACTGTTTGAAGGAAGTCCTAACTCTTGGAACTTTTGCGACCCTTCTTCCAAACCCTAGGGTTCCCCATAAACCATTTAGTACCGCTGTTTTATACTAAAAATAATCTTGTCAATTGTTTCATAATTAAAAATATCTTATAATAATTTTAACCACCTGTTATGCCATATCTGACTCTTAAAATGCTGACCTAGGATGTATAAATTCTGTTCTTGATCTTGATAACTGCCTGCAGTTCACTTAGCCATTCATCTCAATTAGATTAATAAAAATAAGTACTACTCATCAGTGATTCGACTAGAGTTCATAACTCATCAAAAATCAGATCTGTTCGAAAGAAGTCCTAACTCTAGGAATCCTTGCTACCATTCCACCGAACACTAGGGTTCCGCAAAAACCATTTCGGTACCGCTGATCTAAGCTAAAAATAATCTTGTCAATTGTTCCGTACTGAAAAATATCCTATAATAATTGTAACCACGTGTTGTGGCATATCTGACTCTTAAAATGCTGACCTAGAATGAATAAATTCTGTTCTTGATCTTGATAACTGCCTGCGGTTCACTCAGCCATTCATCTCATTGAGATTAATGTAAATAAGCACCGTTCAGTGATTCGGCTAGACTTCTGAATCTACGGTTCCTCAGGAACCAGGATATTCAAATATCTTTTCTTTGTTTTTGCTTCTCACCTACGATTAACGCATAAGCGAAATCACTAACTTCAGGAGATAACAGGGCATTCAGTGATGGGCTATCACTTTTTTTCTGAAAAATTATAATAAATTAACTATCTAGCCTCAAAAACTATAAAACAGTGATAGGTGGACACCACCTTACAGGCCATCAGACTTGTTAGTGGCTATCCTTTGAAGACATCTTTAATTACATTTATGAATTCTGTGATTAATAAAAAAGCACAATCTGTGATGTTACTTCATTTATGATTTCATGTATCTAATTTATTTCTTTTAGGCCAAGCTCATACAAAATGAAGTGTGCACGACCTTTCTTTCGCCATTGTAGTGGACATAGTATTGTTAGTATTCAAGCTATTCTCTATGCTGTTTATGATTTCTGTTTTGACCTTCCTTTACCTGAACATTACGTGCCTGCTTGCGAAGTTCACAAAAGCACCGGTAAACAGATTTCTATTATTTTTTATTTATTTGAATATTTTTATTTGCAATATAAAAGCTTTCTTTAAAAAAAAATTGTCTTATATTTATGTTTTGTGAGGTCTTTTTCGACACATTTTTAAAAATATATATTACAAATGCATGTAAGTCTAAATTAGATGAGTCTCAAGAGCAATGTAATAGGCCAACTGAACAAGTGTGCAGAAAAGAGATATTGATCAAAACTACGTTACAAGCTCACTGACTGTATTATCCTTCTTAGAGCCCATGTCCTAATACATTAATACTTCAAGAGTTGTTTCATATCTTCCTCATAAAAATCTGTATATCGTTTATTTTGTACAACTGAAACTTTCTGCTCTTTTTCATCTTTTTGCATTCATGTATTTACTTTTTTACAGTTTTAGTTTAACAAAAAACCTGTCTAAACTAAATTTGTAACAAGTGAGTAAAAAATACAGTTAAACTGGTTCTCACTTTTTCTTATAGAACAAACGCCTGAGGATTGTATGATCCCCTCTATTCCAAGTGAGTTGTCTTATTAATTATCTTAACAAACCGATTAACCTAATAGTTTAAATTTATATCATCACTATAATTCTATTTTTAATCGCCTTTAACATGCAATAATTTTAATAAATGAAATAAAATGCAAACTATGTAGAATAAAATGTTTTTCTTTCAATGTTCCACTTCTGTGGTTTATAGAAATGAATAATTATTTCTTTAAAAATAGTTATAAGTACCTAATGTAAAAAAAAGTTTAAATGAAACAGTTTGAAGACAAACAGACTATGACTACTGCAGTTAATTGTTGATTTTCTTCTAATATTACCTGATATAACCTCTAGTTGTCTTATTTTTATTTAGCTATCATATTTTTTTTTTCAAGTTCATTTATGTAAAGTATACTTATGCTTGCGATTGACATCATGCATTTAAGTAGGAAAGTATATTGAAATAATTTATTTTAAAAATATTAAATATTTTGCCAATATTCTGATCTCAACAACTGAAGTGAACATATCTGTTGCCGTCTCTGTGGATTCTTTTTTGCCTTTTGATCTGTTATAACACGTTGTTTGGCGCAGCATATCCACCTTTGGATTTTGTGCCAATAAACCATAAATTCAATTCAATTATGTGGGTTCTTCACTTATTATTGTTCACAAACTCACAATAGTAGTTCACAAGTAAATGTAATATGTAACAAGAAGTTTACAATTATCCCATATATACATTTATTACAGTAATTAATACTGCATAAGCCATTTTAATATGTTAATACTTTTCTCTAAAAACGTTCAAAATATTATTTCCTTCATTTTAATAAAGATTCTATTTCTTTTTTTAAAATTTAACTCTTTATTATTTTTTTAATGTCATCTACCCAATTCCAAAAAGTATCAAATTAAAGATTCATACCTAACCTCTTCAGCTTTTTTTATTTAATTATAATAGGCTTAATATAATTTAACAGGAGGTGATTTAAAGTTTGATGTAATATGAATTTTAAATTTTCGTTTATCAAAATGTGTTTTTTAAATTATGATAAATATTTTTTAATATTGTTTCGCATCACTCCAGTGTTCTGAGAAACATTAGTTAACTAAGTATCATTGTTTACAATAAACAAAATAGGAGCGAAATTTTTTTTCAATTTAAATTATTTATAGAAATATGTTATAAGATTTATAACTGTTTTAAAGTTCAGATCACATTCTAGAAAAACTGGCCTTAGTATTAAACTAAAAAAGCTTTTCTTGAAAATGCAAGTTTTTATATATATATATATATTAATAATTTTAAGTATTCTTAATACCTTAACCCCTTCAAATTCAATCCTTGATTTTATAAAAAAGCAAAAGATTTCATAATTGCTGCATGAACATGTCATTATTTTTTTAATTTTCTGTAGTTACATTTTCTGAAATATATTTTGTTTTATGGATTTATAGATTCTGGGTTTCCTTTTAGGTGTTACATACATTACCTGTTATTTAGTACCTCGTAAGTAAGATTTTCTTTTACTAGTTTAAATTGCATCTTCATTATTTTATAGAATCATTTAATTTCATTCGTAATAAAGTATAACATCTTTACGAAAAACTAAAAACTTTACGAAATAAAACCTAACATCTTAGACTTATGAAAATAAGGCCTTGATGTTTGATATTTATAAGATTTCTAAATCATTCTTTCCTGAGATTTTTCTTTATTTACTTAGGAGAAATGTTACTTTTAGTCAAATTTTAGCAAAACTAAAAAAAAAAATTAAAGCTTTACTTTTTTCTTAAAAAATCAATCCACAAGTTCTTATATGCAGATGAATTTAACAGTATTTCTCTAAAATGACAAGAAAGAACCTTCAGATTTGTAGAAACATAAAAGCATAGAATTGAAAAAGATCAACAAATAAATAACATATCTGTTTCTGCCAAGCTTAGATTTTATATTGTCTTGTTAGTTTCTTACTAAAATAATGCAGTTTGGTGTGTGTTATACCATAAATAAATGAAAACTAGATATGTAATCTAATGAAACTTTAAAATTTTTAATAAATTCAGTTTTTTCTATGACGAAAATATAAATCTTTGTTTTACCGAATAATTGTAGCAAATTTTCTTTTTACAGTATGCATGTATTTGTTTGTATGTTTCAAGCTTTTGGGGTTCACTATTTAAAACTGTTGCTCATCACTATTTTGCACAATAAATAATATGAGCTGGAACTATTTTATGTGGTGTGTACCTTGTACTGAGCCGATAGTTACTACTAGTTAGGGAGGATTTTCAGTCCCTTTAGGATGAGTGCCTTTGTAATAGCCATAAATAAAGGTTATAAAAACTTTGGTTAGCCTTTAATTTTTTATTTTATTGATTAAAGTTTATAATCTAGTTATCTTTGAAAAAAATTAATTTTAAAGGTTTGAGTTTCTAATTCAACCGATTCACTATCCTATTTCGCCTGTTTTTAGAATTTTTCGAATGTTTATCTTTTCAATTTTTGTCTTTTTTTAGAAGTTTGTTGTTTTTATTTGAAAAAAGTTACGTTTAAGAGTTTAAATTTTTAATATAACTGATTCACTCTCCCATTGTGCTTGTATTTGGAACAACTCGCATTGATCATTTCAGTGAAATGACTCACTTTAAGCCAGTGGTCTGTTTAGAAGAAATTTGGGTCCATTAACAAACCCTTCACAAAATATTTTTTCATTAAAACGGACACTTCACAAATCAATTTTATCTTTTTATCGGACCCCTCACAAATTTGTTTATCTTCATTATTGTTTTGTTAATCGAATAAACCCTTCCCAGGGAGGGAGAGAAAAAAGACTGTTTGAGACAAACTCAGTTTAGTTTCGTAAAGTTTCCCACAGTTTAAATTCCAAATGTAGTACTCTAAGAAAATATTTCTACTTTTACAAGCATCGTGTGCGCATTCTTATTACTATAAAACCATAATTTTTTTTGTAAATAAGTACAGTGGAGCATCGTTTATACGACGATCACTTATATGACGTTTACATTTATACGACGTTTGTTCACGTTTATTTAATTTTTTATTTTTCTTGTGTATTTTAAAAAAGGGCGGCATTTGCCAACATGAGTGATACAGAAAAGGGTGTCAACAAGAATTCTTGGACGACGACCGTAATTTTTACTAGATAACTGAAAAAACTAGACAATGTTATGAAGAGGCAAAAACGAAAAATTTTGCTATTCATCGACCAATGTCCAGCGCACACATCGATACTAATTATTTTGGAAGATGTAAAAGCTCTCTTTTTTCCTGCAAATTGCACAAGTGCGATTCAGCCATTAGATTTGGCCGTGATTAGAAATTTAAAATTGCATCATAGAAAGCAGTAAGTTCAACTCGCTATTCAAAGCATTGTAGAGACTAATAGCAAAAAAATATAATTAAAGGTAACATACAGTCAAATTGCTCATTGCAATTTTTCTTCTTTGGTTATTTGTTTGTTTTGCTTTGTCTAATTTAGAAATTTATGTAAATCAACACGTTAAACATTAATATTAACTGAAAACAGAGTTAGTTTCAGTTTTAGAAGTAAAAATCGATTATGCGACATTATCGTTTATACTACGTTTTTCGGTGGTCCCTTCGGCGTCGTATAAACGATGCTCCACTGTAATTGAGCAATTTATATTTATTCATAAAAATAATTAATAGAATATTTTTTAAATAAAAATTAATTTCTGGCAATTTTTTAAATACAATATTATAAATTTAAGAATTGTTTAAGTTTACCTAATGCGTAACAAGTGCATTAAAAGTGATACATTTCTAAGTTGTGTTATTTAAAATATGTCAATTGAAATTATTAAAAATGTGAGTTATTTTGTTTCTATTATAAGTCCGAAATGAATATTCTGTGTTGAACAGTAGAGGCTAAATACCAAGTATTTGTATGTTGCATCTCTAATTTAGTAGCAATTGTTGAGCAGAATCTTGTATCTATTTACAATTTAAAAACTTCTTGAAATGGTTTTTAGTAATTTTTGCAATAACAGGACCCTATTTGCACAAATTCACAAAAGCAGGAGGACCCTGATTGAAAGAATATGATATGACGCTTTTTTATATTCCCAAATTATGAATAGTTTTTTCACAATTTTACAAAGACAGGACCTTTCACAAAATGTCTGGACAGACCCCTGCTTTAAACACTTCTTCACACAATATGTCTTACTTCATTTTTTTTAATTAAATGTCTTCTTTATATACTTTTAAATTTTTTAACTTTTATTTAAATACCTACAAAAAAAAGAAATTTGAATCTGGTGTAAACAAACTACCATTTCTTAACCGTTCATTTTAAGTAGATGAAATAACAGTTCAGATAGGACCACTAAAAACTTTCAATAAAACTAACTATAATAGGGTTAGACTTTAATTTGTAATTAAAGAGTTTGAAATTTCTGCACAATTAACTTGTTTTTCTGTTAAACAACTAACAGTAATTATGTTCTGATACTTACACTCATTTATAATTTCGGATTATAAATGAGTGTAAGTATCAGTACCATTAACAGAGTGTAAGTACCATTTATATTTTCTTATAGGAAAAACTGAAGAATGCAGTGAAGATAGAATATTAGCATGGAAATTAAAAATTAAAGATTGTGTTTTATCTAGTTTACTTAAACATAATCTGACAGTTCAAGACATCATAGATAAAGTCTCATTAAAAAAGTATGATTTGATATTATTTCATTGATGTTTTTTTTTTTGTTTTTAAATGAAATAAAGCAATGTGTTTTTATATTGTGGTATTTTGAATTTCAAAAAATTCTTTCTCATAAAAATGCGCTTTTTTTCTTCGATGAATATGTTACTCTCTGTAAAATAGCTTTTTGTTGAAACACATTTTATGCAAATGCTTTTATAAAATCAGGTTAAATCAATCTGAAATCTGGTTAGACCAGATAATTTGTTGAAATTGCATTATGGAATTTTTTTCTTTNAAACTACACTGAAAAATTTTTTTTTTTTTTTTTTTTTGAAGATTTTAAACTTTATATGATACAGGAGCAAACTATTTAAGTAGCATTATAATTCAAAGATTTTTTTAAACAAATACGAATGTACCTTTCAAATAGATTAGTAAATGTAAAAACAATAAGAGGTTCAATTTTTCCTTGGTAAATCTACTGGGAAAAAAAATAGGTTTAATCACAAATCATTTATATCACTTGAAAACTTTTTTATTCCTAAGAGAAGAAGCACTATTGAAATCCTTCATTATTATATCTAAAGTGAATTTAATGGGCAGTATTTTTATTAAAAAAAATGCACTTAATTTTTTATAAGCATACTGCATGAACGGAAATTAAAAAAAGAAAAGAATTAACATTTCATAAGTTGTAAAAATTCAAATTTCAGACCATGGTAGAAATTAGTCCCTCTCATAAAAATAAGAGTGATTTTTTCTTCATTATTGAATTTTTTGAGCCTCAATGCACCATGCTTTTTCAATTTTATGTTATAAAATTTTTCAATATTTTTTTATATTGTAAAAAAAAAAAGTTCTCCATATAATATGATGAAATTTATTTTCCATCCCTAAATAAAAAAGTAAAATTTCGCATTTATTAATTACCAATTTACAATTGTCTTCGAATTACCAAAAACTTCAATATATTTAGTTGTATTAAATACTTTTTAGTAGTTTTTAAAATCTTTTCTTCAACAGAAATTACAAACAATCCAAAGTTGTTGACTTCTCAATATTTTATCTTTTCTTCAATGTAATAATTGAGTAAAATACTACAAATTTATAAAGTTTAGAAAATATTAAAAAGTATAGTAAGTTATCAATTAAGAGCAGAATCTTTGTTTTCAATTGCAGATTGAAAATCATTGTAGTTGCATGCATAAAAAAAACTGGAGACCTGCCTTGTCGAAAAGACACTTATTCCTTGATCAAATGGATTGTAGAAAAAGAAGTTATTATTGTTGGGCAGTATATAGAGCAGAACCCAAATTACAATCCTGGTAAGATTTACCATCAGAAAAAAATATGTACCATATATCCTGGTGTATAAATTAACCCCCTATTTTTGATTATGAGATATTATTGGGTGTACAAATAAGTTCCCACCGTTCGTCACTAGATGGCACTGCCAGAAGTTTATGTAGAAATTAACTGGTGTTAAACATATTGTCAGTTTGTTCATCTGGTAACAACATAACATTGGTGATTCCGTATTTGCATTACATAATTGTTTTCATACAAAGATATCAAGTTTTGTGCCAAATAAGAGTCCTTTGCGAGAACTTTTGATTTACTTCCTAAATTCAGCTGAGACGCATCAATTACTTGGAGAAGCATATGGTTAGGCTGCTTTAAGTGAGAGAAGTTGCCGTGAGTGGTTTCAGAAGTTTAAAAATGGTGAGTTTAACGTGGAAGACCAAGAACACAATGGAAGGCCGAAATTGTACAAAGGCACGGACTTGGGAGAAGATTCGTCCCAAACGCAAAGAGATCTTGCTCTTACATCATTTGAAGGAACCAAGGAATGGGTCGATTCGTAGATACTCTCAAAAGATCAGTTCTTCCGACATGATATCCGAATGCTCACAGATAGATGGGAAAATGTATTGTCTAGTAATGGAGAATACTTTGAATAAAGGATAATATACCGTTTTTTCACAGTAAACTGTTAATTTTTTTTAGAAAGAGGAGGAAAATTATTTGTACACCCTATAAATTTCTGTTATTTTCGGTACATTAATCAACTGCTGTTGATAAGTCAATTATTATTCCTCAATAATGTCACATATTACTAGACCTGAGTCAAAATGTGGTATTGTTATAAAATATTTTAAAAAATGTGGAATTTTGAATTCTTTGAATGGGGGTGAAGACGATTTTGTATGCTGACTCAGCAAATGCGAATGAAACGACACTGCTAATATTAATAAATTCAACACAATTTGTAGTTTTATGGTATGTATTAAAAGTTTTCATTGTGTTATATTTTATGAAATACTCTTTATCTTAACTTTCCTTAGTCTCATCTTTTTGTGAGCGTAATTTAAAGTATTATTTCTAAAGCAAACCTTTATATGTAAAAAAAATATGAAGCAAGAAATTGTTAAATTACTTGTATATAACATATTAAAGATAGTTTTTGAAAGGGGTAATTTGTAAAAATAAATTGAGACAGAGATATTCATATCTATCTCATTGTTTATATAGTGCATTGATATTTCACAATCAAGGAATGTCTGACTTTATTACCGGCGTACAAGTCTACCCCTTATTTTTCGTAACAGTTTTGGGGTTTGAAAAGTAGACTTATACACCAGGGATGTACGGTACTTTTTATTTGTAGAACACACTTCATAAATAAATATGTTTATTTCTAATAAACCAAGTATTTTAAATTTCTCACTTTTGGTATTTTGTTGGATTTTTAATTTTCTTACATTTGAATGATTAATTAATTTTTTTATCTAGTGAAATGTGATTACTAAGTAAAAAGGATGTTTTTTTACCTGAGAGAGTTTTTTTTGTTTTGGGTGGTCACAGTTTGCAATAGTTTTTCTAAAATAATAGATCTTCTTATAATTATTTTTTTAAAATTTTTCATTTTAATCGCAATTTTGTGTGTTTTGTGTTGCATTTTATGTCTAAAAATGAGGCATAGCTCAAAAGGTTTATGGTAACATTTATTTTGCCAATTACGAAAATTGGATAAAATTTACAAAATCAGTCTGGAAAAAGTCATGGAATTTTTCAGTTTCTGCCCATCTTATTATTGTTCTAATTGGAGAAATTAAATTTAATGGGTTTTTTTATGCATGATATAGCTGGAATATTACTTGAATTTAAGGTGACTTTTTCTGTATGATTTATTTTTATGTATGAACACAAACCATAAAGTCTCGAATCACAAGTTTGGAATTCAATTTCTAAAAAAGCTTAAGTTGCACAATTGAAAAGAATAAAACTCACATAGGGTTCAAAATTAGTGGTGGCCATTTGTACCAGATCTCTAAACTTTTCCTCTGGCTATCATTAAATAATTATCAGTGGTCTCCCAGACTAGCAATCAATGTGAAGGGATGTTATGCTGTTTTTATTTAAGGCTTATTATCTGTGCTATTGTCGCAAAATAAAATACCTCATTATAATTCTGACATTATACTCACAATGCATTGGAATTTTTTACTTTTAAATTCACTTTAATAATTTTTTTTTTACGAAAAAATCTAAAATGTAATGAGAAAAAAAAACCTTATAGAGACATCTAAACGTATCTGGGCTAATACAATCATTTAAATTACGGTCCTTCATTAATTTTTGCCTCTGCTCACAATACTAATTTTTTTTTTAAAAATTTGCTTCTTATTTTATATATAACATTCATTTTAGACATGAAAGAATTAATCAAATGATGTATGTTTACTTCCATTTTTTAAAACTACACTAAAAGTTATCTTTTATATTAAAGCTTGAATTTTTGCATTTTTAGATGAGGAAGGTGATGGATCAGTATCCGCTGAAAAATGTGTTATCCAACTACAGGATGATGAGATGGACAGTTGTTATCCTGGTTTTCATAATGTTCTGATGGATGTTATAGTACATAAGAAAAATAAAGTTGCTCTGGAAATGTAAGCCACTCCTATGATATAATTTTTTTAACATTCTTATTTTCTGCCCTCATACAATTTTACTTTCAGTCTTTCATATTATTCATATTATTTTATAACCATCTTTAAACAGTAAACCCAAATTTGTGGTCTTACGACTACTAAAGTTCAACTCTGTAGCCTTGAAATTTTTAACCCAATCCAGAAGACAATGGAACTCCTGAATCAAATATTGGAAGAAATTGGCCACCTTTTTGATGGAACTAAAATGCATTTGTGTTTCATGGATAGGAAAACCACGAATACCTCCCAAGGTTAGCCTGACGGCAAGGGGACTATAACCCATGATCCGTCTATCACTGACGCCAGCAGAATTTGTATCGACCAGCCATCGCTAGGATACGAACCCAGCCACCTTATTGAAAGGCGAACACTCTATCCCCTGAGCCATCATGGTTCATTGTTAGTATTATCATGTGGAAATAGTTACTTAAAAGTAAATTATGAAATAAGATAAAGAAAAATATAAATTCACGTACGCAGAGGTCAATGCTAGTTTTAAATTTCGAAATCTTTTTTGGGATTTATTTTTTTTAGTTGACCAAACCTTAGCAATTGTTTTGGTACAGGTACCAATTCGAAGATCTTCCTAAAATTATTGAGAGTTCCTTAAAAACAAAACTTAATACGATGACGCATTCAGGTCGCACATTATTAATACAGAGGTTTGTTTTCACAGCAAATATGTAGCATAAGACTTTATGTTACATATTTGTTGCCAAAGGCACAGATCCATCATTGTGAGTGACTGAAATATCAACTTGAATCCCTCCTATCTTCAGATCAATGACTTTGAGCTTAAAGAAGTAAAGGCGGCCAGTGCATAATACTGACCATATTGCCATCATCGTGCTGTTATTTACCAAATCATCATGTACTCCATTAAAGATCTTTTTTGCTACTTTTATTTTTCCAATAAATTCTTCTCGAATATAAGCCCTAAAGCTGTATGTTTAAAAGATGTATGTTTAAAAGATTTGATAGATTTTGCTATTCAAAAACTTTTTCTTTTAAGCTATACTTTGTTTATTACATTTGTCTTAACTATTGCTAATTTAATTTTTCTTAGGCCAAATTCAGAAAATGTACAGTGTATACAAAACCAGTTTTCACACTGCAGTGGAGAAGATATAGTTAACATTCAGAACATGCTCTTTACTACTTTTGGAATCTGTTTTAAACTTCCCATAAATTCAAATTTGAAACCTGCTTGTGATATTCATGAAAACTTAAGTATTTACAATGTTTTATTTTTGTATTTATTCTTATGATTTTGTTTATATTTTCTTTTTATTTATGACTGTAACTAGTTTTTAGCACATTATACGGAATGATAGTAAAAAAGTAATTAAAGCCGATAACCTTTCTTTGCCAACATCTAAAAAAATCTCAAACAAATAGATCTTAATGCATACATATGTTTGAATTTTCGCTTTGTTTTGGTGAGTAAAACAATTTTTTTAACTCTAAAAATAAAAATTTATTCATCAAGATATAATATTGCTTTTAAGTGACAATTTGTATGAATCATATCATATATGAGTGATAAAATATGTATAAGTGACAATTGCCATCAGTAAAATGAAATAACCTTTTTTTTGTTAGTAAATAAAAACAATATTTTTAATATTTCGACATTTTGTTGCTTACATATGATGTCATTTTTCAACGGAATTTTGCAGTCCAGAATATCAGAAAATTAACTGAAAATTTACTAATAAAATCCTTGCTTGAAAAGCCTTTTTGGTTTACTTGAAAAAGGGGAAAAAATTACAAATTGCAATTCAAATTGCTAAATTTACAAATATTAACTCTCAACTTTTAAAATTATGCACACATGGAAGAAAAATTTTTCTTACTAATTTTTCAATAAAATTTTTGCTAAATACCTAATAATTAATAATTTTTTTATTGTAAAAAAAAATTTTTTTTCAATCGAACTTAGATATGAAAAGACTACTTCATTATCAACTGAATGCCTACTTATGAATTGGTATTGTCAAAATTTAAAAGCACAAAACACTTATTGAAAAGTAATTATTGTGAGCTCTTGATGCATTTTTATAATTGTTCCACTACAATTGTTCTACTCTAATGAAGCATATTGTACCGCAAAGAAATTTATGTTCTTATAATTCTTTCATTTTAAATCTTTAGTCTTTTTTTAGAGTGCTTTTGACAGTAATTTTATGTGTTTTTAGGGAAGGTTTGCACCAAATCCTTTGCTTCTTCATTTGCTAAAAAAGTTGATAAATGTGTGAAAAAAAAGTCAAAAAACCTGCCTTTGGATGAGTAAGTTGAATCCATTTAAATTACGTTTATAATTTAGAGTAAAAAAAATTATTGCATTAAAAAAATTATTGCACAAATTTTTTTTATTATAGAAAGTTTACAAAATAATGCTTTTCATTCATGGTGTTTCTTTTTTTTAATGTGAAGTAAACTATATTTTATATACATACAAAAGTAGTTATTAATATTTTCCAATAAATTTTTCTTAATGGTAAAAGTTGTTTATTTCTAAATATATATCTTTAGTCTTCTGGTTGTTGCCATGCTCATTTTGAAGTCAAATGTGCCCATTGGCCTGAAACTCTATATTTCTATATTTGTAAGGCTGTTAATATTGTTGAAAAAAAGCGATGACATATTTATGTTTTTTTAGGGTTGGAATGAAAGACATTTAGTACATAAGTGATCAGGGTGATAAACAAATGTTTTTAAAAGTTTTTCTAATGTATTTCTGATTATTCTTCAAAAAAAAATTTATTTATAATTACTTTTTACAATTATACATGTCATTATTCCATTTCATCTAGTAAATAAGAACTAAGTTATGTGACTTAATATTTATTGTTTGTTACGGTGTGAATCTTTAGTAAATGTATTATAAGTTGAGCAAAAAATAATTTTTTTGACTGAAATAACTAAGGATAGTTTTGAAGCAAAGGAACATTAGAGAATTTACATAATAAAGCAAACTTATCTACAAAATAAAAGTAAAACATTCCCACTACAGCCGATAGTGAACCAGAGGTTTCATGAAGGTTAAGGCAGAGATACCAATTTGGACAGCAAATATATATTTTGAAATGGTAGTTTATCAATTGTGATTCTTGGTTTAATAAATTCAATTTAATAGATTTTTATCCACCACTATTTCTAAATAATTCGTAGGCTTATATAATTCATCACGTTATAGTACTAATGTCTTGCTAAACGTTTTGAAAATCAATCAAAAATAGTCAAATATTTGCAAAATTTACTTTGTAGTTATTTACCGTTTTTTTTTAAAATTATTTTGGAGTGTCCAGAGCAGTTGGCATCTCTGTTAAGGGTCCAGAATTTTGTGACCAATAGCATGATTGTGGCAATGGGGTCAGCATAGCACACTGAGTTCCTTAACTTCCCAGATAAACTGGCGCCCATCAATCTTAAGTTGGCGGACTTCAAGCCGCCTTTAGGGATCGAACCCCAATTCTTCATTGTGACTGTTCAGTGCCTTGACCACTGAGTCAGCTTATATGGGAAGTAAAGATGGCCTTTTTGCAATGCTAACCACATTGCCATAATCATGCCTTTGGTCACCTTAACATCCATGACCACCTGGTTCACAACGGTTGTTATGGGAATGCTTTACTTTGCTACGTAGACACCGTTAACTAATCAAGTACGAGTCATCAATCATTTGTCCACTAGTTACCTAGTTTTACCAACCATTTTCCCCTGATTATACTTTCAACTTAATTTTTCATTATTGACTACTTGAATAAAATTCCTTTTTGTTTTTCAGGCATATGGTTAAAATTATTATCTGTGTAAATTCCACATCAGTATCTTGTGCGTTTTCTAAGTGGCGACCGTTTCAAATTCTTCTTACAAAAATCATTGATATTATCAAGAGATCAGGTATGTACTTTGGTATTATTTATTTGTAAAATTTGTACTTTGCCTATTTTTCTATCCATAAATATTTTCTTCAAAAATAGGATTCTTAAAATTTGTCACATTTTGTGTTATTATATTTTTATTATATTATGCATATTTTTTCATATTATACAAAAAAACTTTTTTTTTAAGAAAAGTAAAAAAATTTGAAGATATCTGTACAAAACACCGAGCATTATTCATTATTCTAGTCCTAAATTTACAAAATTTCTTTCAAAATTACAAAATCTTGGGTCAAGAAAGTTTGGATTAGTTCATTTTCCTTTTCTTTATTTCACCATATCTCGAGAACTTTTTAAGCAAATAAAAAAAATTTGCATACAATTATAAAATTAATTATGCCAAAGATCCCTGCAAAAAAAATTTTTTATAATTTAGTATATTTTTTAATTTTTTTTTATTATTTTATTTTAGAATTGTGGAAGAAAACTTAAATTGCTAGATATAGAATTTCTTACATACATCATTTGTAAGAATGTACTTTAAAATGGCGAAATACAAAGTTTGAAAACTCAGAAATTACTTATTAAAATGCACTCAGATGTTATATTTTGCTATTTTAAAGTGCATTCTTAAAAATGTAAGAAATGGTGTACCTGTAATTCAAAATTTTTTTGACCATTATTGAATCAAATTCAAATAAATAATAACTAATTATTAAAAAAAAATTTTGTTTTTGCATGGAATTATCTTTGGATAAACGAATTTTATAACTTTATGCAAAAACTTTTTAGTTTGATTAAAAAATTCTCCAGATATGGCAGAATAAACAAAAAGTAAACATTATTGGGTCCGAACTTTTGACAACTCTCCTCACCAAACTATCAGAACCATATTTTCCAGAATCTGACTATTTTTCATATCTTCTGAGTCAAATCAGAGAGAAAGGAAGAACGTTTTTGTGTCAGATTTCCCAATTTAAAATATCATCTGCGCTAATCAATTAAAATATTTTAGTTTAGGATCATTAAAACTGAGTTCTAAACATAAAAATCGAATTATTAGATCAAAAGTTGTTTAGGGTGTTCTAATATTTATTTTGTTCTTTGTACATCCTGTTATTTATGTAAAAAGTATTTTTTTTATCCTATATTGTCTTTTATTCAAACTTATACCTCCATTTAGATCATTCAGGAGAGCACAGCGGTGATGAGTATAATCAACAGTGTTTTAAACAACTTACTTTAGAAAACATCAAACCATGCTCTCGGGATATGATAGCCTTAGTATCAGTTTTGTATGACACAGGAGCAAAAGTTGAAGAAAAGTTAGTAAATCATTTACTGTGGTATCAAAATTTGCTGTACTAGATTATTTCATTATTATGTTATTATTTGCATAAATATTACAGAGCTTTAAAATTATTATTTTCATTTCTCAGTAGCCTAAGCAATGAAAAATTTTGGAAGTGTGAGAGAAAATAAGCACGATGCAGAGCTGCAATTAATTCGCTTTTTTGTTATTGTAAAATTGTCAATGTCTTTGCTTGAGCCATTGTGACTCAGGGGATAAAGCACTCGCCCTTCAATGAGATGACGCAGATTCGATCCCAGCGATAGATGGTTGATTTGAATTCTGCACCTGGCTTGCACCGACCACAGTGCTGACATAAAATATCCTCAATGGTAGACAGATCATAGGTTAGAGTCCCCTTGCCGGCAAGCTAACCGTGGAAGGTTTTCATAGTTTTCCTCTCCATGTAATGCAAATGCGGGTTTTGTATCAAAAAGTCCTCCACAAAAGCAAATTTCTCCCAATACTTGATCCAGGAGTTTCTTTGTTTTCTGAATTAGATTCAAAATTACAGGGGATGAGGTGCTCACCATTCAATGAGGTGACCTGGGTTTGATCCCAGCGATAACTGGTCAATTCAAATTCCGCACCTAGCTTGTACCAACCACAGTGCTGACGTAAAATATCTTCAGTGGTAGACGGATCATAGGTTAGTGTCCCCTTGCCGTCAGACTAACTGTAGGAGATAGGTTCTCGTGGTTTTCCTGTACATGTAACGCAAATGTGGTTTAGTTCCGTAAAAAAAGTCCTCCACGCTTGGCCAATTTTATGCTAACCAGTTGTAACCTCAAATAATAAAATAATTTTCAAAATATTGGAAGTTAATTAAAATAATTAAATGAAATTAAATAAACATAGAGATATGACAAATTAAAATAAATTCAAAAGGTATGAATTATTTTGTCAAACTAAGCAGTTATTAAAACATCTTTCAATGCCCAAGTACCTAAAATTTTCATTGGAACATAGAAGAATAGATTTTGGTTGCCTTTTTTAAGTTTTCTTGTTGATAAGCTATTAAAATTATTGGTGATTGCGTGATAATAAATCCCTATTTGTAGAAAAAGAATCACACTTTATGTAACAGAATATATTTATTTTAAATAAAAAATATATAAGACAATGTTATTTATTCTTTAAACACTGATTGTTATTTATTCTTTAACCATGTTATTTATTCTTTCAATGTTATTTATTCTTTAAACAAGATTCTCAAGGATAAAAAAAGTAGAGATTCAAAAGTAAAGTAAAGATCTCAAAAGTAAGATTCTTGAGTGTCATGGGCCCCCGGGCACCGCCCAGGTGTGCCCTTGCATAAAGACGGCACTGCTTCCACGAAGGCAAATTTCTCCCAATACTTGATCCAGGAGTTCCCTTGTCTTCTGGATTAGGTTCAAAATTACAAGCCCACGAAGTTGAACATTAGTAACCATAAATCATAAATTGGGTCGGCTGTTCTATGACGGTTATAAAATAAAATGTCAAATGCCTTCAATAAAGTACAAATCTTACAATTGAACTTCAAGAAAAAATAAATAAATAAATAAAACGTTCTTGTTTTGTGAAACTCTTTTTTGCATTCATCAAATGAAAGTATTTGAAGTTTTTTTATTGCATTAAAATATATTTTAATATTCTTGATCATTTCCCAAATATATTATTTCTTGTAATTTGCGTTTCTACAGTAGGTCCCAAAGCTTTTAGCTAAGGTAAATACTGCACAAAAATCTATTTTCATTTTGTAGTACATTTGTTTTTTTATCTACAAGATCTGAACCATCTTCAAATTAATCTGCAACATCAGTATTAATGATATGTAAATACTTGTCAAGGCTATCTCAAAATAATGTTTTAAAAATCAAATGATGAAATTTCTAAAATGAAGATTTTTATAATAGTTTCCTTTTATTTATAAGCTGCAAAGCTTCAACAATAAATTTAAAAATTTAATAATTCTAACTCAACTCAAAAATTCTGAAATTTTTACAGTATTATATTTAACGGTATAGTTGCTAGTAAAATATCTCAGTTACTATATTGCCGATGCTGAAGGTGTATTTTAATGTATTCGTTAGTTTCAATATTTTTTCTAATTATGCTACAAAATAAATTTCTATGGTCTTTAATGCAATTTAATATTGAATGTGCCAGTAATTTTTAAAGGAAAATCAACACTTAATTGTACAAAACTGATTAAGAAAAAATTGCTCAAGACTACTACTACAAGATAACTATTTTTATTTTCTGAACAATTTACCCTGTTTTTTTAAGCATGCAAATTCTGCTATACAGGAGCAACTGGTCTTTAGAAGCAGTCCAAGAACGAAACCATTTATAGTATTTCGTGAGAAAACTGTATTGCACATGTCATTAATCATAACTGATCTACAGTATCTAAGATTTAAATCAAATTATTGCACTAAGTTATTTAAATCAGAGTTTTAACCCCATGATTATTTTTTAATAAAATTATTGATTTATAGTATTAAAGCAAAGTAATACTTATTAAAATAATTTCAGATTTTTAAAGAAATTTTTAGCAAAAATAATCCTGTGAAATTTTGAGCCACGTTGGCTCAGGGAATAGAGCGTTTGCGTCACAATGATGTGGCTCAGGTTCTAATCCTAGAGATGGCTGGTTTATATGAATTCTAGTTTTGACTCGCACCAACTACAGTGCTGGTATTAAATATTCTTACTGGTAGACAGATCGTGCAAGCTGTGGTAACCCCTTTGTAGTTAGGCTGACTGCAATAGGTTTTCATGTTTTTCCTTTCCGTGTAATTCAAATGTGGGTGGAGTTTATTAAAAAGCCCTCCACAACAGCCAGTTTGCCCTAATGCATGATCCAGGAGTTAACTTGTTTTCTGGGTTACGGTTAAAATTACGAGGTTGCAGTGTTGAACATTGTTGCTTGTAAACCCAAAAATGGGTCAACTGTTCAATGTGATTATAAAATTAAATAAAAGATGACAAGGAACGAAACAATGTTATATGTTGAGTAATGATGAAGACATAAGATGGAAAAGATGTTAAGGAGCATTAAATTTATTGGTATGGTCTGATTCAATTTTTTTTCATCTTAATTGTAGACACAGTAGCTTTTTTTTATATTATACAGTTTTTTCTAAATTATAAAATTTTTTCAATATTTATAAATGTAAACCTACAAAAATTTATTATTTATTTATTTTTTTTGCATTTAGGACTATGAGGACTATAACCCAGTGTTTTGCATCGGTGCTGAAGAATTGTGGAAGAACATTTATTAAACAATTTCTCAAAATTGTTGAATATATTGCAAATCTCTCTCAAATGAACATAGATTCTGAGTCTGACTATTTAAATATTATTGCAACACATTCCAGTTATACTGTGTCACAAGAAGAAATAAATGTCTGTGATAGTGTTATTGGTGGGTTAATATTTTTAAATTTGGTTGAAAATTAAGTTTACTGATGTAACATTGAGTTAAGTTGTACTGTGACATCATAATATACTGAATCCTGTTTAAAAAACAAACCAAACCGAAATAATTCTCAATTCATTTTCATGAGTATTTCCCTTTTAGATTTCAATTAAATAGTGAAGAACTAATAAATGAAAGTATTTCATTTTTTCCTTATTATATCTCTTTTTATCTTTTTTATTAAATACTTTTGTTTTATTTTATTCCTTATTTTAATTATATATTTTTTATCTTCTGTGGGCTGTGCTAGCCCTGTGGTTTGAGACCTGTCCGGGAGGTCAAGCTTTGATTTTCAACTCCCTTAAGACCCAATATAATCTGTGGAATCGAAAGTCTTGTGGTCAGTCATTGAGTTATACAATGGGTACAGGGATCTGGAGAAAATTCCCTTCCTCTTTAGATCTATGTCTAAATTGAGAAAGTGTCCTCATGAATGAGTGGTACTGCCATCTATCTATGGGGTTCTAAGACCAGACGTACCTTCACCTTTGCGGTACTCTCTTATCAAACATAAGGTGCACCATCCTGACTTAATTTGCAAGCCCAATTGAATGGTGAGCTTGACTTTTCAAGTGTTATTAGAAACAACAATATTTTCCTCTGTTACTTATTATTAATTAATAAAATGTAAAATTCGGGTATTTTGAAGACTTAGTTCATAAGTTGTTGATTGTATACTTCTTTAGTTTCGATAACATTGCTTTTTTTTGTTGTAAAAAATTATGTTTGTGATTGTTTGTTTTATAATAACGTTTTAAATTCTTATTAAATTTAAATAGTAAATATTTTTGCTATTTTTTGTTTTGTGCTATTTTTTGTTGTAAAAAATTATGTTTGTGATTGTTTGTTTTATAATAACGTTTTAAATAGTAAATATTTTTGTACTTTCGTTCATTTATAATCCTTGGCATACTCCTTCTATGATAGCTTGTAGAAGAACCAATATATCGTACAAAAAGGCATGTAAGTTAGTCTCTGAATTTATTTCAGGGTTAACAGGCATAGTGATAAAAAAAAATTTATAATTAATTTTATTTATTCATTGTTTAATGTACTTGGAAATTACAATAATAAATTTTTTAAAAAAATTTATTTATTCTCAAAACAATATGTTATTTTTTTGACAGCTGAAGTAGCGAGTGATTATGAAGGAAGTTCTGAAGGTGAGAATAATGTTAATTTTTTTATTAAATATTTTATTTGTATAGGAATGTTTACTATATGAATTAAATTTTTCGCAACTGTTTTTTTAATCATATAATTTCCATGGTGTTTTTTTTTTTATTTTTATGCAGTTTTTACTTTTTTTTAATGTATGTTGACATGTACAACTTTTATTTTGATGCATTGATACCTTAAAATTACATTATTTTCATTTAATTATTTTATTATTTAACATATTAATTGTAATACTTAAGCACAGCGCTTAAAATTGAATATGTTATTAAAATATAACCAAACTCTGATTTTCTGATACCCAGAGAACCATTTGTGTATCAGAAAAA